AATGAATGAATGAATGAATGATTTATTGGTAGGAAGATCCTAATACACAAACATAATATACATAATATTTCATGTTATATAGACACACATAGTAAGGATATAATACATATATACATATAGGTACACATAAATACATAATATATACCGAGTCACTTACTATCTATTCTATTGTGATACCTTTCATATAATCAGTCAAATCTTTTTTGAATTGAAACAGGTTTTTATTATTCTTCACATTTTGGGGAAGTTTGTTATATTCAATGAGGCCTTTATATAATAAAATTTTCATGGAGTTTGATAAACTACATCGTGGCAGGTGAAAATTGTCATTTTGTCTAGTAGTGTAATTGTGAGTGGAATTTCTATAAATGATAAATTCTTCGAAATAAGAAGGTAGCATATGATTGGTTATCTTAAAAATAAATATCATTGCTGACCTGTAATATCTTTCACGAATAGACATCCACTGTAATGCACTGAGCATAAAGCATATACTTGCATAACGATTACATCCAAGAACCACCCTCATTCCTCTGTTCTGTAACTTTTGCAGCGACATAATTTTATTTTGGTCAAAACTGTATAACAGCCTACTGCAATAATCAAAATGGCAAAATACATACAAGGCAAGGTCAGAATGGACAGTCTTTAAATATTGGTCTACAGCTCGCCTGATAATGAGCTTTGACCATACACCTTACAATTTTTTTCTGTATAATGAATATTTTTTGTATGTGAGCAGAGTTATCCCAGAATATCAGGCCACAGCTTAATAAGGAATTAGCAAGTCCATGGTATGTTAGTTTAAGAATATCAAAAGAGACAATGCCGTGCAGTTGTCGAATAACAAAGCAAATACTGGTCAATTTGGATACTAAATTGTTTATATGAATTTCCCATGTAAGCTTATGATCCACATAAATTCCAAGAAATTTAATGTGATCAACTTGTTCTGTAGACTTATGATTCATCCTTATTAATGGACTATAATCATAACGAATATTCTTTGGCTGGAATAACATGAAAAATGTCTTTTTTATATTGCCTGATAGTCCGTTATCGACACACCATTCATAAAACATATTTGCTGCAATATTTGATATTTCCACCGATTTTGCTAGATTACTCTCCGCAATTAACTGATTAGTATCATCAGCATAAATGATGATTTTATTTTCGGATCTGCATGAATATGTTATATCACTAATAAAAACAATAAAGAGTAAGGGACCCAGAACCGATCCCGACTTAACAGATTCAATAATTACTATCTGTGTCCTGTTTTCTAAGTAAGATGCAATCCACTTATTAGCGTTGTTTTTTTTTATGATTTCATAGATCTCCTGTGGTGTGGATGGTCCTAAAAATATAGTATTATCGAAAAATTTACGTTTCATGTTCTCCAAGTTCGGTTTAGTAGCTCCCACGTTCGTAAAGTGATTACAAATCTTAGTTTTATCTTTTTCCTGAATATTATTTATTGTCAGTTTTGATGGTAGTGGATTTGTTGATTTATTTTTTGCTTCATTGATTATCTTCCAACTTTTCCTTGATATGTTATTGGCATTGTTTTTTCTATTATTATTATATTCTAATTTAGCCTTTAGACATTTATAATGTTCTTTGATGCAATCATTTTGTGTATGTTTGACTATTTTCGACATTTCACATAACATTTGATGAAGATTCTTTATTTCTGAGTTGAACCATGGCTCTTTGTTTTTCTTGATTTTTTTCTTTTTTAAC